AGCGCTTTCGGAAACTTTTTCCAACCATACTGTTTTGCTGAGCCACCGGTTGATCATCTTGCAGCCGCTTTGAACAATGTTCAACATACAATTGCGCTGACTTTTCCACCTTGCGGTTCTTCGCCTTTCTTCCCATCGTGGTAACTGAGTTAACTGAATACAAGTGTCAGAGTGTGTGGGTTGCAACCCTCCAGTACTGCAAGGTGCGCAGCAAAACACCGCGCCCACCGGGCCTGCAGCATCTTGGTACGGCATCAAGATGCTCAACGTGAAGGGTGAAGGGTTCTGCTTAAAGGAAAGTCAGTTGTATATTGGGCTCCAAGCATATCTATAGTGGTGCTCGCTTTCGTATTTACTGCAGCGGTTCAAGAGTTTCTCGGAACTGCCTCTTGCTCTTCAACCGCAGAGCTTCTGAACGCACCATGAATTAGTAATCTTTGAAGCTGTTGTGCAGGCTCTCCGTAAGTATGTTGATGAGAGCATCGGGATCTCGAGGGAACCAAGTTGGCACTGTCGAACTAGTAAAAACCGGTATCAAGCGCGCTGACCGTCTGCTGTCGACTAACCAGCCTCCGGGCTGTAGAATGTGATTGTTTGCAAAGACTTGGTCCAGAGGGATAAGTGCGACCCACTTCCTCTTTGACAGGAGCCATGTATACAGTTCTCAACGTGTTTGTGTAGAAGCTGGAGCAAAGAGGGATGGCACCTTTTGCACACTTCTACCAGCTTTGGCACCAAAAAAACATAGAAGCGCTCCGGCCTGGCCGCCCCTCTGAATTCCCCACGAATCCTATTGCCGATACACTGTGACTGTGACTGTGACGATAGGCACCTCTGACTGTCATGGTTCAGAAAGCGGAAACGGTTCTCGCGAAGGTATCGCAAGTGGACCCAGTTCCGCCTCAGCTCTCCAGTTCTACGGTCCATCTTTGATCCAACGACCAGAGTGGTCGGTGCCCCTGAAACTGCATGGGATTAAACATCAAACATGTGTGTTAAAGGCTGCATTGTTGATGGCTAAAAGCCCATGCTACGCTAGGCAAAACATGTTTGTTTCTCACCTAAATCGCGGCGCTTCGGGTTTGGAGCAAGCCAGTTGCAACAGCATGCGTCACCAATGGGATCGGCAAAGACCCGGCATTTCGCACCCGTTGGAACCAACTCTGCGAAACGAGGACTTGACCAGTCAAGCAGGAAGAGGGGCATGAAGACCAAGGCCTGACTTCCCGGTTGCGGCCACTGTCCTTCAACTTCTCATGTCTTCAACAACTCAATCACGTCTTTAATCTGTACACTTCATTGTGCAAGATCTTGCTCAAGAATCTCCGGGCAAAATTGCCAAACATGTACCCCTTGAGTCTCTCCAACAGTAAGATCTTCTGAAAATCTGGGGCAGGTTCATCATGGTTCATCTCTCTCTTCTATCTCGATTTGTCCCCGTCTGCACCCATTTCTCCAAGAGGCCCAAAGGATTGGGAAGCCGCAGGTGCTCTCGGACCATGACCAAACGGCATTGCCTCGGTCCAGTTTCGAAGAGAAGACCGAGGCTCCGCCGCTCGACATCCGCTCGACATCCGCTCGACACCCTCCGATGTACGACGCCTCCTGGATAGGCCAGACGACAGTACCTCTGAGAGGCGACCAGGTACTGGTGTCGCTGGGTGGGGAATGAACCGAACGCAGTGGACACCACCAGGGGCTGCCGAGGTGTACGGAAACGTGCAGTGGAAATGATCTAGGCATATCTATAGACACTCTTTGTCAGTGACACTAAAACGAACCTGGTTGTTGCTGAGAAAACTTATTCAGAAGGACTATGCAAATACAAAAAGATGAAAGCTGCATAGGCTGCATAGTCTTCAGACCATGCTGTTGCCAGCTTCATACTTTCCATCTTCAGTCTTTCGGGCTAACGGGGACCATCATGTGCTCAAACACATACGGTCTGAATAGCACCAAATGGTGGCACAGGAGCAGGGCGAAGATGGAATAGGCCAGCGACTGCTCGGCCAGTCTGGACAACCTCTCGGCTCAGCAACGGGACGGACCACCCAGCTCGGCCAAGACAAGTGTATTGCTTGGCCATGGCATAAGCGAAAACGACGGTCCAGCACAGGTGCTATCAGTTGCTACTGTGCATGTGATTGCTTCCCTGTGGCACAATGCATAGGAACACATGGTCAATTTACATCGTGGAGTGATATTACATCTTTGAGGTTGACTCAAATGCAAATGCAGCCACCGCCAATGTGATTGCATTCCCATTCTATCCAGCTTCCCAGTCTCCCACCTGCGCACTGTGTCTCGAAAGAAGAAGGCCGACCTCGGCTCTCGTGCAAATTGCGCAGCCCATGATCCAAGCTTCCCTGGAAGAGACCGCTCCTCGAAAATCAAGTGCATAGGCAGCGGCAGACTTTCACGAGGATTCCCGTCTCAATCAACAGTTTCTTGGAGAGAAAAGAGTGGACAAAGAACATGGAGCACCCATGAGCCTTCATTACAAATGGCCGTGCAAACCCGCAGGGCTCCACTTCGCCGAGCTGTCCCGACGTTTCATCGGTTGCCTCCGCCTCCATCTGGAGAAAAGGCTTGGCGCATCCCGATCGTCATCGAGCGTCGAGCTGGTCCAACAGGTCTAATATATAAAAGGCAGGAAATCGGGCTTTGGATCAAGACATTGGGCGAGGTTTTGCAGAATGGGCATGGAGAATTGCCATGAAGCCGGTCATGATTGTGGCATCTGCCAAGTCATGACAAGCAATGTGAGTGTGATCAAGCCCCCATATCCAAAACACCAGAGAGTATGGGCGACCACTACATGTGGAACCCAAATCTTTCTGACTCCCCTAAACTTGCTCTCGCTGTGTCTTTCGGCTGGTTTCAATTGAAGTCTGACGTCTAACAGTCTAACAGTTTCATGTACCTCTACCTGCCATGTCCTTCCACATCTTTTTTTGCCTATGTCCATCATCTCCATCTCTTCTCTTTTGAGCAAAAACGACGGCCAATGGCATGCAGCAAACTCAGCCTTAACTCAGCTATTGTACCGCCCTGGGTGTGGTTCTGTGCTGTACCGTCTTGGGTGTGGCAGTTTTGGAATTTTGAGTCCAACATTGAACCTCCTCAAGAGAGGGCAGCAGACCCAGTGTTTTGACTCACTTAGGGAGGTGTGGTGTGGCAGCCAGCCGCCTTGTATTGGGGCCTCAAAAATCCCTTGAATGCAGTACTTTGTGGTGCATTTGGCATACCATGGCACACTTATCTGCCAGGCGCTTTGCATCCCGAACCCTACCAGGCGACGTCTCAAGAGAGCGGAGAAAGGCCTTCGTGGTGTGGTTCCATGTACCGCAAGCTTTGTACAGAACGCAGACCGGCTCTGGGGTATCCTTGAAGCTCATGAGCCAAGGGATGGGATGTGCTCGTGAAGAAGTGATCCTCACGACGTTCAGAAGCAAGAAGCGAGTCAATCGGCGAGTGTTGGGACTGCCGCAAGCTTCGAAATGAATTGACCTACTTGCAAAATCGAGCCGCTTAGAGAAAATGGTGTAGTCAGCACTTCTGTAGTAGGCAACTGTCAAAGTGTTTATCTATGTTCTATGATTTTGTTGTGTTAGGGACATCTGATGACATCATGTCATCTGCATTCTACCAAAAGCAAGCCCTGCAAGCCATGCATTCGCCCCACATTTCTGCAAGCGAGCCCGAAGCGCTGGGAGGACTCGATCTTTCTACGGCTCGGCCTTTGCCAAGGCCCGCGGCTCTGTCGGAAGTCGAAGGGTGCGTCAAGATACAGGTTCCAATCAGTCACTGAGTAGGTCTGGAATTCACTGAGTAGGGTGATTTTCAGACTGACGAGAATGTCTGGACATGAATTCAATTCGCTTGTATCTTGACTGATCCCTTGGCCAGACCAAAACCTAGGCTTCAGCCTGGGTTCGAGCTGCTGCCAAGAGAGCTTTCTTCACCACCTCGGCAGGATATTGAGAACTTGCAGCCATCGGTCCAATCAGTTGAGGTCAAGTTGCCTCATGGGGTTGGTTTCGTGCTCGAGCAATGAGTTCCTCAATTCCTCTCTTCTCCGCTAGGACGAGGAAATCATCAGCGCAAGGCTAGTCTAAAGAGGACAAGATGCACACACGTGAGGCACTGTCAGCATTCTTACCTTTCAGCTTGTGTGATCGGAGATCGTTATCCAAGGTGAACATACAAGCTGAACATCAGTCTATCTAAGTTCGTGGGAGTCATGTCGCCTTCAATAATGATGCTCCACGCCACCCTGCGGTCTCGGTAAATTGAGTGAATCCCTTGAATGCTTCCCCCCGCAGCTGCACCCAATGATAACAAATACTACAGTAGCCCTCACGTGCCAATACTGTTTTGGAGGCATCTGCAAGTCTTCCTTGGTCGGAAGTACAGCAGCCGAATGGAAAAACAGCAACTACAGCCGACTATAGCCCTTCTGATGTAGACCCAACAAATCGCTTGAGCAAACTCTGGCTGCGCAGACAAGTGTTCATCTTGTGTTCCCTTAATTTGGGGTGACCCTAGAGGTTCCCCCAAATGTCAGCCAAACCCAATGTCCCTTGAAATGGCTGTTGTGCCCGATCCATCAAACACATCATCCAGCCGCCGCATGCAACAGAATAAGCCATGTGAGCGCCACAGAAATGGGATTTGCAAAGCTCCGTGTTGGGTGTCTGCAAGGCTAGAGGTGAGGAAGGAACAGGACCGCGGATCTGTGATGGATCTACTGTACCATCTTGAATCGCCCAGAACAGAGCTTTAGTGTCACATGGCGGTGCTCGCCCTTGGCGAGGGGTGAGACTCTGACTGCAAGCTCAGCCAGTCTGAGATTAGCTAGTTGGGATGGCCCAGCAGAAATGAGTATTCTGGTGGTGAATCGCACCACAGTTCATGTCAACGCAGAATTCCCTCCACACGAACATCCAAACGAATAAGCAAAACAACAGGCTCGTGCGTTCGCATTCTTCCAAACAGTTGGTGGCGCGAGTTAGCACTCTCTCAAACAGTTGAACTGCCTCGAAAACTGATGTTGGGCATCATGAAGCTGACTGAACCCTAAGGTCGTATCCCTGGGTCCACCTTCATCCAGCTGTGCATTATCAGCGCAGCAGCGCAGCGCTGTGTCCTGCGAAAAAAGACACCACCGCCAGCCGAGTCAGGCCATACCTTCGTCTAAAACTGGGAGGCCAGAATTGTCCTAGCGACTTCTAGGAATGTCGTCCATTTGTGTAAATATCACCATCAGCACAGTCCTTTTTTCCTGTGAGCGTCCTTTTTCTGAATAGAGTAGTCTTCTGGGGATGCTCTCACCTAAAGAAATGGTGGAAGGGAAGGTTGGAATGGTGCCTGCAATGATTAATCTTAGAGTTCAACTTTGTCTTCAAAACTGTCCTTAGTGATGTTTGATAGGGTGGGCAGCCTTCTTGGTTCTTGTTTGGGTTAGGCGAGAAACTCTAACCACTTGGAATAAGCCGATTGGTCTTGTCAATGTCCGAGCATGCCTTCTTTGGAGAACGCATCTCACCAACCTTGGCAGGCGTCCCTTGGGTAAAAGTTGAGAGATGTGCGCATGTCAGCCGATGATGCCTTTTCCGGTCCCAAAATGGAAGTCCAAACGACAATCTCGGTTCAAAGATCGTCATGCTGCAAAAAGATTCTGAGACACCCCAAAGGCCCTACATCTTGAAAACTCTCTATCCTCCAACCTTGATGGTAAAATCATGTAAATTCATTCTTCGAGCATCCGGGTCTCAGACCATCATAGCATCCGGTTCTCAGGCAAGAATTCGGAACAGACGCGCCCTGGAAAAGCAGAAAGAAACGCAGTGGGCGGTTAGCTAGAAAACGCCAGAGCTTGCATCCATCTGGTTAGCTACAAGACGCAGGAGTTAGCTACAAGACACAGAGACGGAACAATTGCAGTGCGGAGCCCCACTTTTGGCTATGTCGAATATCCTTCAAATTTGAGGTGGTTGAAACTACAAAAGATATCGTCATCGTCCTGCTATGATAACAGAAACCTTAATCTAGACCCTGTACATCTCGTTACATCTCAAAGTTCGGCCCATTTAGAGGAATGATCCCTCCCCTGCGGTCTGCATCGCATACATGGTGCATGTCTTCCACTCCTTCCGTGCTCTCGACATGCCAATGGCGGGCATCATCCAAGGGGTAGGAGAATGGCAAAACCTGGGCGGAGCAAACAGCATGACACAAACAAGCTGGTCGAAAACACAATGTACAACAGCAGTATCAAGAACCTGAAGGTCTGTGTCCAACATGCAAACGAGTGTGACTAGTATAAAAGGAAGGTCATCCCCATAGCATTGGGGCTTGAATTGAATGACCCATCCTTAGTAATACCTTCATAGCATCATGCCTTACGTTATCATACCCCACATAGGATTCCAGTCAAACTTGGGGACCATAGTAACACAATGCAAAATAGTGATTATCCTTTCAGTCTGGACGATGATAATCATGGGAAGGGAGAAATCCAAACATAATCCACAGTCCTCGTGGCCCATGAGACTCCAGGCCATCTTCTTCGCCTTCTTCCGGGTCTTCGCAGCAGTGGCTGCAGCACCTCGCACCCGGGTCACACGCCGATGCGAGGCGCCCGGGGGGGGCGCGATGCGATGCGCCGCGCGGGCGGCGAAGAAGGCGATCGGCGCTGGCCCAACCTGCTGCTGACTTCAAGGTGAGAGGCTTGCCAGGCCGTTTCACCTGCACAGCTGTCAATCATCTCTTCTCGGCTGCGAAGAGAAGGCACGGGTGCCATGGTAAATGTGGTACTTCATGATTGGACCGCGCTATATGTTGTGGTTCACTGGTCTTCTAAAAATCATCGCAGCAACCAACCGATGATTGTAGACGCCGCCGAAGGAATGAAGAAGGGCAGGGCCGGGCAGGGCATCGCAGGGTGGTGCAACCAAAGTTTAGGGTTTAAAGATCTTCATTTAGGTGCTGTACACGGACTGTGGGTGTGACCAGGTGCTCCAGAAACAGCCAGGTACTAAAGTACCTGGACCACCCGGTGACCTGACTGCCCCTTTCATCCTACAGATTGGGCCCCGCCTTGTCCGTTCTTTCAGGTGCTTTCCTGGTGATGCGCTGGGAATCGCCAACCGTGGGCCCTGTGTCAAACTGGGGGAGACCGAGGCAAACTCTTTATGTGCTAAAAAAGCCCCAAGGGCACTTTGGGGTGGTCTCTATAAAGTAGGGAGACACAACCGCATGCCCGCATGGAGACCGAGACAAGTGCATTGATGGAAGCTAGTGAAAAAGGCTCCCAGTTCAGAAAACATAATTAGTGCAGCCGAAGAAACGAGTGCTGTGAGTGCGGCTCACGGAAACAAACCAAAACAGAGAGCTTCTCCCAATTCGTCAGAGTGTAATTGGCGTTGAGCTTTTTCACTCTGGTTCGCTGCGTCATACTCAGCTGCTTTGACATCCAAGGAGCTCTGGAGTCTTGTCATACGAAGCCTCCCGAAAAATTTGCTTGGTAAAGCAAAGCGGCTTGAGAGTTGAGGCTTGCAGCAGCATCTGAGTTGGGGGGGCTGAAGAGACCTCCAAAAGTATCATTGGTTGTTTGGGACGTCTACCCCTTGCAGTACATCATATCTACATCTGAACTTATCGAGCGTGGCGTCTCTGTATCATCTTTAGAACTGCTCAGCTTTCCAGCAATAGCTCTCATATCCGGATTGTTTGTCCCGCAGGAAACTCTTACAAAAAATAGTGTGTTCATCAGCAAGCAGGTCCACATTCCACATGTTCTGACCACAACTGTTTGCATCGCTTCGTCAAGTGGACCGTTCAACCAGCCTGGCGATCTTCCTCACCTGTGGCGGTTGGGCATGGGCCGAAAAGAAAGGTGTCTTGTTGCGGAGAGGATGGTCTTCGCAAACCCGTTTCCAAGTCTCTGCAGCGGATGCCAAGAAGTTGTTGAGAAACTCTGCCTGCCAAGCGCTTCTCTGCAACCTGTCCGGTGATTTGGCGGCTCACATCGACAATGTGACAAGTGAATCATCTGAAGATCCACTATCAGTGGATCAGGTGTATTGATTGTACATCATCCGGTTTAGTCAAGGATCTGCATTGTGGCAAGTCTCTCAGCACGATATAGAGGTCATAGTCTAACACGTGGGAGGACATCTGGGACTGGCATGTTCTCTTGGGAGCTCATCAGGACTCTGTGCCTTACCTGCAAGACCCGCAAAACTCTCCGCAGCAAGGCTCAGCCGCAGCCCACAGCCTTCTCTTTCTCAGCCTTCTCACCAGGCAATGACCTACGGCAACATCAAGGCTCCGAAGCACTCGAAATGGCACGCGGGGAGCGATCGGACGAAAGAACGGGGCGCTCGGGGGAACAAGAAGCTCCTGGAACCTTCTGGCATCGCTACTAGCAGCATCCTTACTTACACTAGGAACAAGAAGCTACTAGGGGCCTTCTGATTCTACCTTCCGCAAAAGGCAACCGTCCAGCTAGATTTGGGCGTCAACTGTACTAGATTTGGGCGCCCCCGGGCCTGATGTATTCTGGAGGGAAAGTGCTCTATTTTGTTGGTTAGCATCATTTCTTCACAATTCCTTCCCAGCTGTTCTAAGCCGTCCACTTGCTTCTTAGAATCAATGCCTTTGTGGGAACCTCAGCCAGCATTTCTCAGCTTCTGCACTGCGTCCACACTCTGCCTCCCTTCTGCGAAGTGCGGTACAAAGCTCTGCTGCAAACACCCGAGCGATGGCCTCCACCTTACTAGTAGCGATGGCCTCCCACCCTAGTAGCGAACGATGCCCGAGCTGAAAACCACACTTTGCAACAGCTTCTCAATGCCTACATCTCCGTGCTATGGGCCGTCCTTATCCCTCCCCACTAAGGCTCCAACCACTGCCCGGACTCGTCTCGGTTTGGGTCCCGGGGGCCAGGTCGCTGAAGGCCTGGTCCAACGCATCACGGCATCACACATCCTTTTTGTTGTGTAACTCTGGCGGGCCGCAGGGTGTCTTGTAAACAGAACCCTGTGATTGTTGAGCAGTGTTTGGGTGGGATTCGATTCAGCCTCCTGAGTGTGCGGATCCTTCCTCCACAGTCAATGGGACTCTTGAAGTGGAATCCCCTCTCCCGCTGAGCAAGCCTTGAGATCAAGCGTCCAAAAAACTCATTCCGCCAAGAGCCGTGACTCCTCTGTGTCACGAATTAAAGAATCCTCTCTAATTATGGAAATTGAAGTTGAAATTCACGCTTTGCACCAGCACCTACCTGCCCGGTCACCAATCTTGTCAGGACATCCCTCATCTTGCAGCCCAGTGGCGAATCATCGTCCAGCGAGCCTCCCACGTTCCCTCCATCCCTCTCGCTCCGCGTCACTCACCAAGGCCAGAGCCACATCCCGGCGCACACCCCACACATATGCCGTGGGCATGCATGGGGTGAGCTACTCTATATACATCGACAGTGATCCATAAATCGATAATACAATGTGTCTATATAAATATATTTTTCGCACGCAGCCAGGGTCAATAGTGGCTAAGAGATAAGTGGCTCTACGGAGCAGCTCAGCTCGACTGAAGAACGACACAAAGATCACAAAACATAAAAACGTAGATACAAAGGTGAATCCCCTACCTTTGGATACCTTTGAAAGGTTTTGGAAACCAACGCAAACGAACGGAAACGAACAATTTGGGATCCTCAAAAACACAAGTTTTCTACACCGCAGATCGCGCGCCTTCGAAGTCCTCCTGGATGCGAACCTGAAAAAACAAAAGCACCAACTCTTTCCGCTGATACCAGAACCAGTGAAAGATCTCTGTGTTTTGGGACGGATCTCTACAGAAACCGAGCACCTGGTCTTTTTGGCTCCTGCCTGGGAGACCTCAGGCCGGCCGGAGGCGTCCTCGGCCTCCTTGCGTGAAGCGTGAAGGGAGTTG